ATACCTTTGTTCTTGGAGTGCAGCTGCAAAAATAGCTTTCAATAATGTATTAGGAGAATAAAGACTGTGAGCTGATTTCTGGGGAGACGGCGCTCCAGCTCTATGTATGTGCCAAGACCAGGAGCTTTCTCTGCTGTGCACCGACACAGAAAAGATCAGGCTGGTGAACACAAACTGATCCTCTTGTAACTTCTAAGATTGCTCTATTTATCCAGTGTGGAATAAAATCTCGGCCTTGGAATAAACAGCTTATCCCTCCACATATATTTACGTCTGATCTCATATCTTCACTGGGGACTGGACAATCACTGAGACAGGATAATTACTCAGGATTCATTCCTGAAATGTTGGTGATGCAGAGTTGCATGGACAACCCACTATACCCCTCCCTCCTTCAGAAAAGACAAGCAGTGCAGAACAGCAATGTAATGACTCTGAAATGCAAAGTGTCCTGACCAACAGAGCATTCACCTGACGCTATGGAGGTTTAATTTCTTGCGTGCCTGCGTGGGATAAGTGGCAATGCAAATGTTGTGACTTTCCTTCAAGGTCTGTGGAGGCCAGCCAACTGCAGCACAAGTGGGGAAAAAACTAAACCCTGAACTATCTAAAATTTAAAGAAAGAAGCACAACAGAATTCCAGGCAGGCATCAATTATTAAGACAAGCAAGACAGCAGTGACACAATCTACAGATGATACCTTTGGAGGCTGTGTTTTTTTTGGTTTGGCTGACAGTATTTTGGGTGGTTTGACTCAGAATGAAATATTGCATCTAGAAGTGAATATTTCAACAAAGGCAAGTGACATTCCTATTTGAGCTTAAGATTTGTGAAAACTCTGTGGGCTGTGTTAAACCCCATGTTAAAGCTGCTCTTTTTATTTATATTAAGAAAGGGTCCAAAGACTAAAGTGTAAAGTGAAAGTGCTCGTTCACTGTGATGAACCTACATAAAATCACCTGACCTGATTTCTTTTAAGCAGCTTTCTGGTTGTTTATTGATTTGCAACTTCACTGTTTTGGTTCCCTCTCACCGCTCTCATCCACACATTTTTAGCACATGCGGTGAACCCAACACTACCTGCTCATGATTAAATAGCAGAAAGACAAAGTTAGCAACTAGCTGGTGGACATGGTGGAACATTTAGCTGCAAAAGAACCAGATATTTTTGTCAGGAGCACCATCAGGTACAGGAAAGGGTAAAAAACAGCAAAAAATATATATTTTTTTAATATATAGACACATGTACATATATATATATATATATAACCATATCAACGCATGTGCACACCCGTAAACACCCACACATCCATACAAATATTCATGTCTAAATTGAACTACCTCTGAATGCCTATATATCCACACAAGTCTTCATACATCTGCACATACATTGCACTTATATCTTAACCCTAACATATGGATGTACATACACATTCAAATATCCATGTTGCAACAAAATTGTGTTTTTAAAGCTCCAATCTCTAGGCTTGGTTTAAGTAATAGCCTGCATCCAGAATAGTATTGTTTACATTTATTTAGTTAGGACAGGGTAATGTGTCTGAGGATTAATCTGATGAAGTTACATGAGAGGGTGTGTATATGGAATTTGACATTTGTTCTAAATTTAAAAATGTTTCATAAAGTTTGTAGCCATGATTTATTAACTGTCTTCCAATTAACTGCTATAAATCCAACTGACACATCTTTTTCTTAAATTCTAGCCAATTGTTGTCATTCATATGATTCAAAATGCATAATATTGGAACTAATGGGATATTTTCTTTAATGATCTTAGATAGTATGGAAGCAATTGAACAATCTGGTATTTTACAATTTAGATTAGTTTTATTAAAATTTTATTTAATAACTTTCTGTTTCTTATTATGTTCTTAAATTCTTTCATCTGTAACTGTGAACCATGCTGTAATCATGTTTTGAAAAGTGCCCAATAAAATAAAGATGTTCTTTTGGATTTGAGTTATTATTGCCCTTTCCTGCAGGTGGCATTCCAACCTCCTGCAACATACTGCATGTATTTGATATAATATCCTTATTTCTTCATCTTTTTAGGTTTTATCTTATATTATAGAGTCTGAATGTATTTATAGTGCCTCAGAAAGACCAAATTTGCAAACATGATGTAAACTTTAAATTTTATGGCATCTTCATGGCCTGCTTGTGAATGTTATGACTATACAGAGGAGGATAATGACAAGTTTTCAGTAAACATATGACATGATTTTCAACTAAAGCAAACTTAATGCATTTTTATACAACTTCAGAGGTGATATCATCCATCAACACACCCACGCACACTTATCAAACCTGCAGTCTGCAAATGAGGTATGTTTCACACTCAGTGCAATCCTCTGAAACTCTACAGGTATAATACCAGGTAGGCTGAATGATTCTTTGAAATGGTTTTCCTGAAACCAAACTGCGTACACCACACTGACTCATGTAAGCGTATATGTGCCCACTGACTCATGTTGTACTTATCTTCAATTTTGGGCAAATACATTGAGCAACGAACAAACAAGCTCGGCCTGACCCCAAAGAAGCCTTGTTTGTCAGTGTGCTGGGTCTCCATAGTTGGGGGTTGTGTGGTTGGAAAATACAACAAAGCCTGGTGCATTTTGAATGAATGTGGGAGCTGGAGAGCGTGGCCTGTCTGACTGTATGTCTCTACATTTCTGCCTTTACTCATCCTTCTCTCAGTCAGCACTTCCTCTCACCCCCTGGATGTCTGGATGGCTGTTAGTGGAGATAATATGGATGAACTAGTAACTTTGACATCAGTTAAAATTTGTCATTTGGATATTTATTGCCTAAAGGGTGACTAAAACGCATTAGTGAAAAAGCTTTTAACCCTTTGTAAGCAAACTGTGGAAATAATGGATTAAAGCTCATCAGGTGTATGTCATCCAGATCCCCAGTTATTTGGACCCATATTTTTAGTCATGCTAGCAGCGAGGGATGGCAATGTTGGTCTGTCAGTCCACCAGTTTTGTTCAGACTGAAATATTTCAACAACTCTTAGATGGATTGGCATGTCATTTTGTACTGATATGTATGGTCCCCAGAGGATGAATCCTAATGACTCCCCTGACGTTTCCTTTAGAACGACCATGAGGTTCACATTTTTGGTTTTGAGAGAAATGTCTCAACAGCTATTGGTTAGACTCTAAACGAAATTTAATTCAGACATCCAGGTTCCCCTCAGGATGAATTATTATGGCGTCATTACTTTTCATAGCGTCAACATCATGTCAAAATGTCTATTTGTTGACAACTTGGGCTTATTACCAAACCTGCAAAACAAATGACATTCCCATCAGCCTCAGCTGTACTTAGTGTTTAGTGCTAATTACCAAGTGTAGCATGCTAACACATTGATGGTAACACTGATTATATCCATGTCCTTATCTTAAAGGATAAGTATGGTGATATTCTATATTTTTCTTATTGTTAACAATTCATATAAAAAGACCAAAACCAACAATGTGCTAGTCCATCTCTCAATACTTTCTGACCCCACTTTCTTGTCTGTGGCACTCAGACCCAAGCCCATATATTTGTATTGAACAAGTAAATCTTTAAAAATGCCCAGTCATTTTCTAAAACAGCTGGTCACTGTAGGTTTCAGCAATTGTTACTCAAACAGGAGTAAATAGTGACTTTGTGGGGAACTATTTTCAGTTGTGGTTTAATACACATTTTGTGCTCTAGTGAGTATGACAGCAAGATAGTGTAGGTGGGAGCTAATCAAATGTTCGTTCTAGTGAATGTTACCCAGTGCAACAATTTGATTTATTCAGCCCGTCCACAATAGAAACACTGTCGTATAGGTCGATAATGCTGCAGCTTATTAGGACACATATTTACGTTTACTGTAAGGCCACGACCTCTAGTGGCTGTATGATGGTAGCAAAGGAAGAAGTCTGGTGACGAAGAATAAAGAGCAACAATGTCCATGCAAAGAGGTGTAGCTGGGGTGGATGGATGGGTCAAGCAAACTCAGGACTTTCAAGCAGAAGTTCCAGTCCTGTGTGAAAGAAAAAGTTGCCTTTAGTTTTAAGTTGAAAAATGTTTCGTAGGTCACTTATATTCTTAAGCTAAGTATGTAATGTACTAATGTACTAATGTAGTAACCTAAAACATGATCTTTTCCTAACCAAGTAGTTTTTTTGCCTAAACCCTAACCAAACAACGACGATTTCACAACGTTAACCAATTGGGTAACGTCATGTGACTTCCATAACGTACTTAAGCTCTGGTTGCTGGACTGGTATTTCCCAGTGGTCACATATGTTGTTTTGGGGCAAGTGACAATCAACCTATTTTGTCATTTAGGTATTTGGGTTTGGGTTTCAGGAAATACTTGTTTGAGGGATCAGTTCATTGTTGGTTTAGGTCTTTTCATGGGATTTCTTGACACTAAAAAAAAGCATAGACTATGACCAGGCTTAGCCTCTAATGAATCTTCATGATATAGAAGCCAAACACTGAGCTAATCAATTCAAGCTTTGTAACCTCTGTTGAATCTGTCTGCTAGTAAATTTTCATCGCCTGACCTCACTCAAAACTGTGTGCTTCTCCTTTTGTATTCAAAAAGCTGTGATTGTGTATTACAGGCTGACATTTCACCGCTGGCCTTTTTTCTATGCTGGCCTTTAAATTTGCTGTTTGTATGTCTTTGTCCTGTGTTAAACTGTGTGTTAGGTCAGATTAACAAATGGTAAGGCCGGTGGCAGGCTGAATAACAGCATTAACCAGAGAACAATAGGAGCATGGGACTAAGCCCTTTCACAACCTGTCTGACAGCTTGTAGCGTTGATGTCATTCTCTGACTCAGGCCGTTACCACCGCCGCTGTCACCCTGGACTCTTGGATGCATGACATCACCAAATGACACATATCACTCCCCACTACTGCTTTCATTTCTCCCCTTTTGTCTCTGTCTCTGTCTCTCCAGTCATTTGCATACTCATCAGCTTTCCTGCATTGTAGGCTTCCACTTTGTCAGTCTGTGAACAAGGAGGCGAAGAGCATGAAAGGATATCATTAGTTTCCCAAGGAGACTCAGATAAAGGGAGAGAGAATCTGAGGACAAAGATTGCTGGGTCATATGATGTGCTCTCAGGAGGACTTACTGATGTTGGCTGCAGATAGCAAAATAACAAAATTATGGTGAATATCACTGTTCATTGTTTCAGTAAGAAGAACAGTAAATGATTTACAGCATGTAATCTAAAATAGACATCAATGTCTTGGATTCATGTGATTTGATCAACATATTGTTGCTGTTGGAAGCCATGTATCTACAAGTTTGGTGATTTAACATTATTTGGAATGAAGTTCCTTTATGGGTTGAGTTCTTCTAAACTAAAACCCCACTGGATTATCTGAAAAATGTAAAAGTTAATGATTGCCGATGGAAAACCCTAGCTTGTCACCTGACCAAAGCATGAAACTTTGTTCATGTGAGCACAGATGGTTGCATATGCCTCTGTTAAAAAATGCCTGCGGAAATTGATGTGGATGGTCACATCTAACAGCAAACTCCTTTCTAAAACCATGAGATGCTGTTGAAAGCTCTGGAAAAAGCAAATGAGTGGACCCTCTAAATAATAATAGTGGTTGAACCATTTTATGATAAAGCTACACAAATTAAAGCTACAATAGTTACATTTATGCAAATATATGCACTTGTTCTTTTCATTTTAATGAGTCTTAAAACCCAGAATTCCTGAAACATGTTCAGTCCTCAGTCAGAAGATTATTCACAAAACATTTCTTAATATACTAAAACAAACCAAAGGACCAGAGATGCAAACGGTCTGATGTTGGTGAGTTGAGTGCTTGCTTACTACTGTCAGTTTGAATTTTGCTCCCAGTCTACATTTATTTGAAATTTTCTTCACACCCTGTTCATCACTTTCTACATTGTACATATCCGACATCCGAATATCATTTAGGCAAATAAGGTAAACCTACAGTACACCGTCACTGCCAGTGTCATTTAGGGTGATATGATGGGTTTATTTTCATAAAATCTTTACTAGTGCAACTTGTCCAGTGTGTGTAAAGCAGCTGTAATGATATCAGGCGGATGAGCTACTTTACGCGGTGTTGATTAAAGGAGGATTTCCACTGCATGCAAATTACTTTTTACATTTAGCAGGCGAATAGTATTAAGCAGCATGGCTTTAGTATGCTTCTCCACTGGGATACAATGCAGAATTTTGTAGATGTGTTACATGATTCACATTCACTAAATTAATAAGTAGGACCAAAACTCAGATTTATGTGTCAAATATAGAAGAAATAAAGTTAAATGTTTACTATTCACTGAATAACTCAGTGGTCATCTGTTATTCAATAGCTGATCCATTTGCCTTTCTATGCACCTGCTGTCTGGTAAGTTTTTCCTTGCAAAATCATCCTCTGTCATACAGGAAGTGAAGCGTTTTACATTTCTGACAGCCGCAACAGCTTGTGTAGAATAATGTCGGGAGTTAACATGATCTGTATTAGCAACTTTGGCTGAAGAAGGAAAGAACACTAACTATAGAGACTCACACTTCATTCAAAAATCTTCTTCAATAAAGACATGAAATCTCACAGTTTTGCATTTAAACAAAGTCAAATAAGTCTGAACTAGTGTCTCTCATTAATTTACAGTCTTATTATTGCAGTTATAGTCCAGAGCAGCTGCCAATGGAGGCTAAAACTCAGCCCCCTCTGGGACAGCCATGCAGAGCTAAAAGGCCCTGGCTCCCACACAGCCATGCAGCAGGTGACCCCCTGTCCTAGAAACAGTTGCTATTTAGACATGATTAGCAATGGGTGCAGAGAGAGTCATTGTTATTTATATTGTGTTATCCCTGTGTTTGTTTCAGAGGTCGAGGCCAGCGAGCATTTCTGCTAAGTCGCTCCACTCGACGGCCACGGCTGAGAAGTTTGGTTTATAACCTCTGCAAAGACACAACCGTTTAATAAACAGACACTCACTGTGGGCGATGGGTATAAATATCAGGGGACATCATCTAATACCCTCAGTCGTGTAAATCCATCCATGTGTATGATATGCTTCCATTCTGGGATAAGGTCAGAATTAAATTGGGCTCCCACTGCAGGCAGAATGACAGTATTTGCTATTCTTGAGATCATTATCTCAGATTTCATCAAAGCATGAGGTAAACCAAAATTGCACACGGAGCCACTATACATACATATCAAGCACTATAGTAAGATTAGAGACGCGTCATCACTGACTTTAAGCACTATACACTTGAGTATATATGCAAGCAAGTGAGACCGAATGTTTAAATTTCTTTGATTGCTGACTACAATATTTGGTTGTTGCTAAGTGACCGTGAGGATGATTCACCCCTCCTCAGGCGAAGGGACATGCCAACTTCAATGAATAATACTGAGCAGACTAGCCCAACTCAGAGGAAATCGTGTTGTTATGAGTTCAGTGATGTAGCTGTTATTGTTAGGTGTAAACCATACCTCTCCCAGTAATCTGTCAGAGCCGCTGGCCTCCTCACACAGGCAACCCTTACAGAAGACATTTGTCCTTCTAGCAGATGATTTTTTTTTTTTACTGCCTACAATCATAAGCTAATTTCAGTAGTTCTCAGCCTTCAGATGGAACTCCCCTCAGGGTTGTGAGATGGTTTTGAAGAAGGTGAGTATTACAAGATGAGTGTTATAATAATCATCAATAGTATCATTTTTAACACATTAATGTAGCAATACACTGACAATTGGTCTTATTTATTTATTTTTTTGGTGATTTCAGGCAGCTCTTTTGTTTTAGATGCCATTTAGCTTTTTAATAGGACACTATTTCACAATTTGTATTACTCTTGATTTTCTAATCACAAGAAGTGAATAAGTGTTGTTCGAATTTGAAGACTTGAAACCTGAAAGGGTTTGAAGTGTCAGCTGAAGTGTATCCTTGAAAAGAGTTTAAATGTAAGTTGAAGAGCACTAGATGAATAAGCAGTGGAAACATTTTAAATAGTTGAAATAGCCTACTGAAACAGCTGAAGTATTAGTTGAAGTCACAACACAAATACCGAATTAAGTTAAAATTACAAAATGATAAAATAGTGGTGCTGAAAGGAGTTGAAGTTTAAGGCTTAGAAATAGGTTAAAGTCGGTGTGTGGATTCGGTTAAAGAAATGATAAACTACAAGAAGATGTCAGCTGAAGTGTAAACACTCACAGCAGTTAAGTTAATTGTGTATGAAAATGAAAAGTTGTGAAAGAGGTGAAGGCGTTTTTTGTAGTTGTTTAAAAGACCTGAAAGGCTTTGAAGTGTCAATTGAAAATGAAGCATTAAAAAGAGTTGAAATTGTCAGTTGAAGAGTAAAAGATGGAAAGGGAGGCAGCATATCACATATCAGGTCATACTGTAACTGCTACTAACTGGCGTAAGCTACTTAGTAGCAGTTAGCCATGCAGCTAACTGGAAAGGACTCCAAAACCTGAGCCAGGCGCGTGGGCAATGAAACCGGCCTCCCAGTGATCACAGCCGATCACAGCCTCCGAGAAAAGGAGGCCAGTTCGATGACAGAGAATATAGTACCGAGGTGATTTACAGCGGCTCCGACCAGGACCATCAGAGAGCTTGTAACAGAATGTAAAGCCAAACACATGACACATGTGTCACAAATATGGCGCACAACCCGTCCTCCCGCTCTACAATGGCGAAAAAGCCCAGCAAGCTCTGACTGATATGTGCTGGGTCCAGGCTACAAGGAAAATAGCACTCATGACTCTTCCCAGGACAAGTGTGCTGGTAGCCTTCTCCATCCCTTTCTTGTTAGGTAACACATTCACCATTCTTTTTCTGTTAAGAAACAGGATGCACTCATTACATCCTGCTAATTTAGTATTAATTCCTCGTCAGCCGCAGTCCGCTGAAAACAAAAGAGGGCCAGATAATGTTTTTAACACACTAAATTTAGCTTTGTTAAACATTAGGTCTTTGGCAGCAAAAACATTTTAATCAGTGATTTTATAATTACTCACAATGTTAATTTCATGTTTTTAAATGAAACTTGGTTGGACCAAGAAAACAGTGCAGCTGTCCTTATCGAGTCTACCCTTCCCAACTTCAGTTTTATGAGTGAAGCTGAGAGGAGGTGGAGTTGCCATTTTGTTTAATGACTCCCTCAATGCAAAAAGATGTCTAATGGGAATTTTGCTTCTTTTGAATATGTGGCTCTTCAGCTGAATTTCACATCTCAAGCTATTTTTCTAAATATCTACAGGCACCCTGAATACTGTGCAAACTTTTTTTGATGACTTTGGTGAACTGCTGTCCATAATCTGTATTGACTTTGACTGTGTGGTTATTGTTGGTGATTTTAACATCCATGTTGACAACCCCCAGGACAGAGGGACTAAAGAACCGTGTTGTGTTTGATAACTATGGACTGACTCAACATGTGACGGAGCCCACACAAAATAAGGGGCTCACTTTGGACTTAGTCATCTCCAGGGGTCTGAACATTTCCAAGGTTGTGGTGACTGATGTTGCTCTCTCTGATCATTCCTGTGTTTTCTTGAGAGTGCTATCTCTGTGCACACAAATGTACAAACAGAGGTAATCACAAAACGGCATATCACTGAAAACACTAGTGAAACATTTATTGAGGCTTATTGAGGCATGGGTCTCAGTTAATGAGCTTGTAAAAAATTTCAATTCTAAAATTAAAAATGTGCCATTGCACCAGCTAAGTTGAAGGTGATCTCTGGTAAGAGAAGATCTCCATGGAGAAATGCCACGCTGGTAAGAACTCAAAAAAGTGAGTGTCGAAAAGCTGAACGTAGGTGGCGGAAAACAAAACTCCAGGTTCATTATGGCGTCTTTAAAGAGAGACTTCGCATTTATAATTTAGAACTGAGAAATGCAAGGTGGTCCTTCTTCTCCGAAATCATCACCAAAAACACTAATAATGCACGTGCCCTGTTTGCTGCTGTCGACAGGCTAACCAACCCTCCTGTGTCTGTAGCCTCTGAACTTCTATCCACCAGGGCCTGCAATGAATTTGCCTCCTTCTTCACAGACAAAATTCAAAAAATTAGACAAGCAATCAGTGCTTCCATGTCAGGTACAGGATATGTGTTGTCCCTGTGTAAACTTAGAAAAACAATTCATATAACATGAGACAATTTGATTCTATTAACCATAAAAACCTGGAGGACATAATACAACATCTGAAATCCTCCTCATGCTGCCTTGATATTCAACCAACAGGTTTCTTCAAAAATGTTTCTAAATGCATGGTCTCAGATCTACTGCAAATGGTCAACATGTCTCTGCTCTCAGGTTTTATCTCCCACAGACCCTGAAAACTGCAGTCATTAAGCCACTCTTAAAAAAGAGCAATCTAGACAGGTCACTAATGAGCAATTATAGGCCCATATCAAATCTCCTGTTTTTAAGTAAAATCATTGAAAAAAGCAGTTTTTTAACAGCTTGGTGCTTTCTTGGCACTAAATAACTGTTTTGATGTCATCCAGTCAAGATTTCAACCACACCCCAGCACTGAGACGGCTCTTGTTAAGGTCTTCAATGACATCCATTTAAACACTGACAGTGGCAGAATTTCAGTCTTAGTATTATTGAATCTAAGTGCTGCATTCGATACGGTTGACCACAACATATTACTAGACAGACTTGAAAACTGGGTTGGACTTTCTGGCACAGTACTAAACTGGTTTGAATCCTACTTAAAGGGACTACTTAAAGGGACTACTTTGTGTCTATAGATAATTACACATCTGAGCAAACAAAAATGACCTGTGGAGTTCCCCAAGGCTCCATTCTGGGTCCTCTTCTGTTTAACATCTACATGCTTCCACTGGCTCAGTTTATGAAAAACAACAAAATATGTTACCATAATTATGCAGATGACACACAGATTTACATAAACATTTCACCAGGGGACTATGATCCCATACAGGCACTGAGTGACTGTATTGAGCAGTTCAATTAAACAAAGATAAAACTGAAGTTATTGTGTTTGGAGCCAAGGAAGAACGATTGAAAAGTCAGTGCTCAGCTTCAATTGGTAAGGTTAGGAACCACAAACCAAGCCAGAAATCTTGGTGTAGTCATGGAAAGTCAGCCTACTATCACCTGAAGAATATATCAAGGATTAAAGGACTTACGTCTCAGCAGGACCTGGAAAAACTTATCCATGTATTTATCTTCAGTCGACTCGACTACTGTAACGGTGTCTTTACAGGGCTCCCTAAAAAAGGACCTAAGACCAAAACAGTGGATCACATCACTCCAGTTCTGAGGTCTTTACATTGGCTTCCTGTACGTCAAAGAATTGATTTCAAAATCCCGCTGTTGGTTTATAAAGCACTGAATGGTTTAGGACCAAAATACATTTCTGATCTTCTGCTTCGTTATGAACCATCCAGACCTCTTGGGTTGTCTGGGACAGGTCTGCTTTCTGTCAAAACTAAACATGGAGAAGCAGCATTTAGTTTTTAAGCTCCATATATCTGGAACAAACTCTCAGAAAATGTAAGGCTGTGGATTAATGTCATGCACTGCGCTGTGACGTTTACTGTCCTGTTTTACCCTGCTTCTATTTCCTATTTAACTCTTTAAAATGTATTTTATCCTGTTTTATTTTCTATTTCACTCTTTTAAAAATGATCTATAAATGTGTGTTTTTTTCAATTTCCCTTTATTACTTTTATTGTTTATGTAAAGCACTTTGAATTGCCTTGTTGTTGAAATGTGCTATACAAATAAACTTGCCTTGCAAAATATTTTCACATCTAACTAGATGTTAAACTAGGGTTTATTTCCACCAAAGCAGAGCTGGTAGTTGTTGGAAGAGTGGAAAGACTAACCAAGATGGTTTTGGTGAATTTTATTTTGTTTTCGTCGAGTTTGAATGAAGTGGTGAGTTAACAAGGCAATTTGTTCTGTGAAATAGAGAAACTTAAACTCAGAAGGTGTGCGGCTGTATTGTTAACAAGGCAATTTGTTCTGTGAAATAGAGAAACTTAAACTCAGAAGGTGTGCGGCTGTATTTTTCTGTTTAATAAGAAAAATAGGTGTAAGAGCTTTGTGTGCACTTGTGAACTTTACGCTCACAAACATCTCCCAGCTGAAACTACGGGGCTAACTTGTTAGCATGCTAACATCAGAACAGATACTTCATCACATTCTGTTTGTTTTAAACTAAAATTCTTATCATCATATTGTGTGAGCACTGCATAATATTCAGTTAGTCAGTATCAGTTGAGCTGAAAGTCTGGCGAACCCTAGGTAAGAAATTGACCTTCAAGTGTTAATTGAAGTGAAGTCCTGATAGGAATTAGTACATGCGTCTAAACTAAAAGAAGATGTCAGTTGAAGTGTGTGGTGAAGCATAAGCACTGAAAGCCTTTGGAGTAAATTGTGTTTCGACAAGGGCTGTCCCGTATAGTTCACTTCGTTCTGCTTTCAGTCTGTGCCACAGATGCATAACTGCGGGTCAGTGTGTCTGTTTGACTGAGGGCAGGGCCGAGCCACGTACACACAGCATCACAATCAGAAAACGACACTCTGTTTCTGTGATTAACCGCTGTACTCGCGTCACGCTCCCCATTTCACCTAAAGCTTGCTCGACTACGGCTGCCCTTGTGCCAACTTTGAATGGCATGACCCCAAATGGCGAGTCGACAAATCCTACTCATTCAAGTTGTTAGAAAAAAAGATAACATCACTTTATTCAAATTCAGTATTCTGTTTGAGAAATAAAAATTTAGCCCTGGTTTCAACAGTGGAGGTCAGAAGAGGTGATATATTTGCTGTTTTCAGTGAAACCATTAAATGGTTTCATTGAAATGAGCTGAAATGTCAGTTGAGGACAAAGATATGAAAGCACTTTAAATGTCACTTGATCTGTAACCGCTGAAAGCTGTTAAATTGTCAGTTAAATGTCAGTTTCTGTCATTTCTGATTAGCTCTGATTTTGTGGCATATGTTGTGTTAACTGGTTTTTGGCCTGAACACTCTGTGTTTCATCTGAGTGAGGCTTTTCTTTCTTTAATAAAGGTTACACATGTTTTGTCACACATTTATCTGTTGTATG